TTAACTTATTTTATTTTATATTCCCGACGTTTCGAATACTTTACATGACCCATGGTCACGGGGGGCATTGAGGTGTATGATGTCCTAATGTCCACAGTTAACCACAGCTTCCTCCAGATTAAAAAATATTAATTTATGTGCCGATCTACGCAGTATGAACTTACAGTATCTTGAAGTATTGCAGTTGTATGCTTGGGTTGGGATTTAATTTTATTAATCCGAAGCAGATGGTAGCACCTAGCCATCTTCTCTATAGAAATTAGGATTTTCAATGGCCTTGCGAATCATCCTTGGAAGGAATCGGTGTTCTTTAGCGAGAATTTGTGGTCTATTAAATCTAGTGTAGTGACGGGGGCGACCTTGTACGTGTTCACAGACTACAGACTTCTCGGAGCGTCGACTCTTCACATAACAAGCTGATGACCTCCGTGACCATGGGAGTTAATTAAAGTACTCGAAACGTCGGGATTATAAAATAAGTTAATATACGCGATGAAATCCGTAAAACAAGTTTTATTTAAATGTGCAGTGTTCGCGTAAATATAAGAAGTCATTATGTAACCCTCTGAACTTAATATAATTCAGTTATTTCAATATTAGAGACAGACACTATAATTATATTTATATGTAAGGATAGATTTATTACACATATGGTGTTGATGTATCGATAAAAAGTGCGTTTTGAAATAAGTCAAAAATTATCTTTTGGTAGAGGAATAATGCGTCATAACATGAAATTAGACATACTCGTATTATTCTTGACTATAAAATAAAAATAAAATAAACAAATATTTATCATTATGTGTTGAACAATGAAATTAAATGTTTTCTGCTAACAGATCCTTCACTTCTATACCAATTATTTTATTTTATAATATTATAAAGAGGAAATAATTTTTTGTTTGTTTGTTTGTTTGTACCGAATAAGCTCCGAAACTACTGGACTGATTTTAACATTCTTTTCACCAATAGAAAGCTAATTTATCAGGAAGTAACATAGGCTAGAGATCCTTAAGAAAATTGTAATAATGTAACCCAAAGTAGCATAGCAAGTAAATTTTTCCTATCATCATCATTACAGCCCTTCACAAGTCCACTGCTGAACATAGGCCTCCCCCATAGAATGCCACAAAGCACGGTCCTGAGCCACCTGCATCCATCGACTTCCTGCATATCTTACCAGGTCGTCACTCCATCTAAAAAAATTCCTATAAAATTCATTATTTGGCGCGTGGTGAGAAAACTACTGAATATACATACAAATTATGTACTACATGATTTAATTACTCATTATTACCTACGAAACAATCCGGGAGGGTATATATCTAACTACCACAGCTAAGTAAGCTACACTAGTAGCTTTTGTGTTATAAAAATTTAATAATATCGCCGGTTAAATTTTACCTGGTAGGTGGCGCTGTTGTCGAGACCAAAAAATTACCCGTGCGCAGCCGGGGCGATCGCTTTTTTTATAATACAAAACATTGGTGTTGCTTTTGCAGTTATTACTGAATCTTTATATATAAAAATTACGTGTCACATTGTTTGTCCGGGATAAACTCCTAAACCACTGAAATGATTTCAATGAAATTTGTGCACACTGTGTGCAGTTTGGTCCAGCTTGAGAGATAGGATAGTTTATATCCCGATAAGTGACCCTCAGTGTTTTTTATTGCAAATTTAAGTATTTTATAGTACAGAGGTTCGTCGCTAAGTACAACGTCTGTCTGGTCAGCTAGTATAATTTAAAATCAAAAATTTTGTATAACCGACTTCAATATAAATTATTAAAAATAACTCAAAAACTATTGGTCAAAACTTGATCAAAGTTATATGAAACCACTTGTGAAGCACCAGCTTACAAATAAAAACATAAATAAAAAAGATTCATAGAAATCGGTTCACCCAGTAAAAACATATGAGGTAACACATAAAAAAATATACAGTCGAATTGAATACTGACTCCTTTTTGAAGTCGGCAGAAAAAGTAGTGTATTTGTTGCAGCCAACTACGGCACTGAAAATTTCGGGAATCAAGGAAGTGACACAACATTACTATTTAAAAATGTATTTATTGCTTTTCGAAGTATTCTCGGCGAAATTTGACACATTTTCCATACGATGGAACCAATCATTGAAGCAACCATTCCATTCGGAAGTTGGGGTCTCCAAAATGGCCGTTTTGTAGGCGTCCACAGCTTCTTCAGGTGATGAAAATCTCTCTCTGTCCACGCAATTTATTCTTTATTTTAGGGAAAGTATACCTACCGTAATACCTAAGTATAGTTACAGTCTCTTTGAAATTAATAGGGTGACCATGTCATGTAATGTCGCTGGTCTGTACCTAATTATGCTTTGTGCTATATGATGTAAATGTACGAAGTTTTAGTATAGGCGGATAAGCTAGGCCATTAACTGAAAGATTAATTAAGCTAGTTGGCTGCGACAAATACATAATTTAGATAATAGCTACATTACGTAATTTACAAATTATATTTTCACTAATTATAACACATTGTTCATTTTATCAACTTCCTTATCACCAGAAATGACACATTACAACATTTTGGAATATTATAAAATGTATGAATATTATAAATATAAATAATAATAATAATAAAACTATTTATTTTCGTTTTATTGGCATTTAAAGAAGCTGTTACATATTTAAATTGTTATATTTTATCACGAATATTTACGTATTAAATTTTCCATTCGTTATTAGGTGTGACTCTAAATGATAAGGAGAGATGTTGTGTGATAAGAGAAAAGTGTGGTTTGTGAGACCATGTTATTATGTGTGTGTGTTTAGGGTTATGAGGAAAGAGTGTTAAAGCAAACTTATGTTGCAGAAGTGAGTGGTAGAGTCAGCAAGGAACGCCTTAAATGGAAGTTTATTGCCGAAATCAGCGATATATAGAAGATGAGCCAAATTACGAATACCCATAACCGACTTGTGTGTATGTGTAGTTATATGTAATGTGAAAGAAGTGAGGGAGGCGTTTTAGTATGAAGCTAAATAGAAATCTGTAGTCTCTGACTACACCTGTATGTTACAAGCATGTCAGCTAATGCTAAGTTTTGTTTATACCCATTCACACTATATTCACAACCGTCATTTAAACATATACCTTTTGAGGTTCACAGAGTCGAAATTCACCATTTCTAAAAGAATTTTTCGCCTTACATATATGCTCATATTATAGCCGGGGTAGCTTAGGTGTTAACTCATTTGCATTCACGAAATAATAAATTTGTAATTTTAAGTGCTGATTCACCAACACCGAACTGCACTCCTCCTCCATTTTTTAGTATTGACTACATTTCCAAATGAATTTGATTTTTATCATACATTTTATAATGACACGAAAAATACTGGACACTATCGATGTTCAGATACAATTTTTTCCATCGATAAGCATGGCAACAGTGAAAACAAATTTACTACTATCTATTCTACGATTATTTTGTATCAAAGATACTGTATATAAGTAATCTATTTAAATTATAACTGTATTTCATAATTTATTAAGACTAAATACAATTGACTGTTACAAAAAATTACAGAGATTTTAAAGACATATTGTATGCAGATAGTGCATTGATTTATTTATACGTTTTTTTTTAAATTTATAAATAAGTAAGTAACAAGAAATGGAGTGTACCTACAAGAGTGGCTATTGCAGTCCATAAATTTTTGCAATCAACATTTCTAAGGTAGCCACAATTTGGTAAACTTTTCTTAAGGTGACTTTTGATTAGTGTGGTGGTTTTTTTTTTGTATTTAATGATAATGACGTCATAAAGAAGGCTGAAGCGTACGTTACGTTTGTTATATATGAAATAGTAACGTTAAATCATAAATTAATATTTTACTTAATACATGTTTAACAAACATAATAAATGTTTTCATTAACCAACCAAAAAGATGTTCTTCAATGTTTTGCTATAATTCAATGATGAATTCGATCAGATAGCCTAATAGGCTGCAATAACTGGGCGGTTTTCGATTTTCGATTTCGAGTGCCGGTGCCGATTAACGCCTGATCTTGGGCATTACTAACATCAAGTCGTCGTATTTGTTTGTTATATACATTTAAGACGAAAATATAATAATCAACGCAGAAAAGTCAAATTCTGAATTCATCCAATCATAAAAATAAGATAATTAGAAGGAAAATATTATACCTTATTTGAATAGTTGAAAATAGATACCAAAAAATATTTGAACTACTTCCGCATGAGCGAGGAGATATCTCATCATTTCACAAGTCAATTTCGAGGCTCAATCTAAACGCATACCTTCTACCTCGACTCGCGCATACACATGCACACGAATGCTATACTCACACAATACACCTGCAGTTTTACCGGCCGGCATCGAGCGGGAAGCTTGCTGTCCCGGCACCGGCGATGTCACCGGTGCGAGTCATCGCCGTGCCGGCACACTGGTATCCCGTGAGAATTTAGAGTGATCTTGTTGTTTGCTCTAACTTCTCAAACAGTCTTCCTCACAGTAAGTGATACTACGACCCATAAACACCTACATCTATCCTCGATTAAGATTCCCCCTATGAGGCAATATATGGGTAAGGTCTATGTTCAGCAGTGGTCAATTAGTAAGCTGTAACGGTAACGGTATTCTGTACGAGCGTGTTCCTTTCTCTGTCAAGCCAACACCAGCGATATTTTTTTGCACACAGTTCACCTGTGGACCATAGACATCTAAATCTATTCTCGGTTAAGAATTAAAATGCAGATGCGTTGTCAGCCCTCAGGACTAAGATAGAATACCTCGTCACCAGTAAAAAGGGTCTACGGTTCTCTACACTCACCATACGAAACGTAGAAGCATTGAGCCGTTATTTTACACTGGTATTCTGTGAGAACGTGAGCGTTCCCCGGTCAAGCCGAACATTCATGCTACAACCATAATATAGCTGCAGCGTGGCTGTACAACGTTTAATACACGTGCTTAATACATTTATTTACATTTTCAGGAGAATGGGTAGTAATATTAGTGACAGCGTTAAAACAGATCTCAGGGCACACGCAGAGTGGCCGAAATATGACAAGGGAAGAGATATTCAATCTGTTTACGTCTCGAAACCTGAAGTTGGAAAATTTCGGCGTGATATTTATCTGGGCTCACGTAGTGTCCTTAGGAGTGTACTTCTCGGTAGGAGGATTTCTACATGTAAGTGTTATATTTTGAAAGAATGTTTTAAGTGAATTTAATCAGTGACAGCCTCATAGATGTTTCCTTTTCTAGATATGGCTTAGGTGTTATTTTTATAGAATAAAGGCAACAAACGAGCGCACAGTCCACTTGATGATAAGTGGATGCTGTGGCAAATAGACATCTACATGAATCCTCGATTAAGAATCTAAAATGCAGATGCGTTGTCACCCCGAAGACTAAGATCTCCTCCTCGTTTCTAGTAAAAAGGTTCTCCAGTTACTTACACTCACCATATGAAACAAAGCAGCTGCTATTTTACTATTGTTGGTGGACTTTAAATGATAGGGCGAGAAATTTTGTAACAGGAAAAAAGTGCCAATCGCATGAAGATTAGAGAGATTAGGATTAAGGCGCAGGTTGAGCAAAATGTCGCGCTAGTCGTTATTTGGGCGGTTTTTAGGAGCTATCTACTTTTTATTTAAAAGATATATCAACAAATAAAAAACACATTATATTTCTACATAATCTTGATTCCATAAAAGCTATATCCAATTTTTTTTAAAGGAATACATATTAATATAATCTCCTTACAACGAAACCACATAAATGTGAAATTATTATTGATAACATGCATCTCCTTGTAAAGTAAGTATTATTTTGTTTTGCGATTTACACCAATGGATAGGCAATTTATTAATGAACATTTCTATAGTAAAATTTTTTTCAAAAGACCAAAATTTCATTTTATTAAGAAATTATTTTAAAATCTGGGCGTATATACTGCTCACGGGCTTGATGAAGTCAGTGAGCGCTGAGCTCTTCGACGTGAAGCCCGTGTCGTTAGAGCGTCGATCGACGCATACGCCACGTCATATGAGTCGATAATATTATTACTTATTAGGTTATTTATAGGTAGTATTATTTGTTTGTTTTGGTTATAATTTTTCGTATTAGTTATACATATATTTGTTGTGTTTTTTACTGCGCGATGAAGATTTTTGCGTGTATTTTCTTTGAAGTAAATGCAAATAAAAAAATGAAGCACCATTAGCATGTAAGGTTCGAATCCATAATTAAAATTTCGACAAATATTATAATTTACACTATAAAAGGCTAATTCAATATTATCACCCAACCACAATATCTTATCAGGTATAGTACTGCCTCGTTGGTCTAGTGGTTGTAGTAGTGCCACTGCTGATCATGAGGTCCCGGGTTCGAATCCTGGGTCGGGCCAAAAAGTCAGTTATTTTTCATTTATGTTCTAAGTTATAATTAGTATTACTAAGTTATAGTTTTTTGCTAAAATATAGTATATTATTTATTGCTTGTTTTTTCTTCTTTTTCAAAAAATAATTGAGTACATAAGGTGTTCTATACTTATATCTCGGTAAAAAGTACTAATATACCTACTTTTTACTATAAACTAAAAAATTTTAAAACTAAATTTAACTAAAAAGACTAAGCTGACCATTTATTTTTTAACTCATAACAGGACATGGGTTTATTTATACTCTAAAAACTATAACTTTATACAATTAGTGTTCACTATAAAATTATATTCGGTATAGACGGTAATTATTAAATGCAACATATTTTTTTTAATTATTAATTACATTTGTCAGTGGATTAAATTTGCTTTAATAAAGTTGGTGATGATTTTAAATAAGAATAAAATTCTGCTCAAGTTTTTTATTGTTATCTTTGTTAACAACATCGCCTTTAGAACTCTGGAACCGTAAGTGTTTCTTTCAGACGTCCACAATTTATGCAAAATAAAAAAATACTCTTTCTACCGGAGCATTCGTACCAGGTAGACATAAAATATATTCGATTAAAAAAAATTATGTTGAAGATTGTTGACTTTGAATACTTCCATCCAACGAGTTACGGGACAATTTTGTGTCCCGGTGCTTTGTTTGGGGACAATGGGACAGGAGACCGAGAAAAGGGACAGTCCCGTTCAAAACGGGACGTATGGTCACTTTAGCTATAACCCGGCGACCATGAAGCAAATACAAAGTTAGTCTTTGTATTAGCTTCGTGGTGGCGCAGTGGCTTAGCAATCAGTTGTTGCGCTGGGGGCCGCGGGTTCGAATCCCGCATGGAACAAGATTTGTATGGCCTACAAATAATTGTTCCGGGTCTGGATGTTTGTCTTTGTGCAATTTATGTTTGTAAACTGCCTCCACGACACAGGAGAAAATCCTATTGTGGGTGTAACGTTTTTTTACAACTGAAATTGAAAGATTGAACCCTTATACTTCTTGTTGATTTTTGTATTTATATATTTTTTATTGCACCAAATATTTGTACAAAAGCCGAGTTATCTATTTATTTACCTATAGTGAATAGGTATCTTTTAAACTCTCAATTTTCAATGCTTCATTTTTAATATATAATTAATGATAAAATTTCATAATTAGATAATATATGAAAATACATAATTCTAATATAATGCAACTAATATATACAGAATAAAAATATTAAAATACATTTATCTTTGTACGCTATGTGTATTTCCATAAAACAGTTTATTGATGTTGAAAAAATAATACTACTTTCGTACAATAGGTGGCGTCTTACATATTTCTTCCGGCGAGCCGCTCGCTACAATATACTCGTATTAATATTGTAGCGAACGGCGCGCCGGTCAAATGCTCAAGGTCGTTCGCATGGAGTAGCCCCTTAAGAAATAAAGAAAGACTAGTCGCGCTATAGACCAAAAGACTAACGAAGCAGTCAAAACAGGAAATAAAGAAGCAAAATCAATCGTTTGCTTACCGCTTTACAGCATTGTACCTATTATTGTGTTCTGGCTTATATAGAAAACCAGTATGGGGGCATTCCTTAGTTATTATAACAACGGATCTGTTCAGTAGTCTATGTTATTTATAGAATGTTTTGCATCTGTTAACTAAAGAAGAAATTAGCAATGAATAGAATTGAAGTAGTATAGAATATTAATTTTTATTCAATATACTAGTATATTACAAGTAATTATTATTGACATATATTGATTTGTGGCCAACAACTTCTCTTATACACAGATAAGAGAAGTTGTTGAGATTCATTTCACGTTTTCGTTTCTTAAGTTTTTGTTAGCTACTGTTTACTTTCTTAGTGACATGCTTACTACTGATGCTGATAATAACTACATGACGGGCATTTAACGGGCTCAGGAACGTCATAATAAATAAAATTAAAAAATATTTTACTGCTTATCAACCACTTAAACGTCTGTTCTCATTATGGTGTATTTAAAAATTGAAATAAACTATTTACGCAAACTTTAAATCACAAAACTATGTCTCAATATCTAATATTGGTACCTAAAAATGGAATCTGTTTCTCTTGTGAGAACGTGAATAACGAACGCACCACATATTAAGTAATCGTTTATTCACAACGTAAATTTAACGTAGCGGATCGGAGTGCGTACGAGCGGCCTGACGGCGTCGGACGACCAGATCAACTGGCGAGACGAATAAAACGAATTATTTGCCCACGCGCAGTCGAGGGCTTCCGAATGTTGGCAAACGGTCGAAAAGTCACATTTTTTTATGCATAGATGACTCGTTTTCTTAAAATATTTTTTAAACTTATTACCTGTTCTTGAACACTTTTAACTTTCGCAAACGCAGCAATACTTTTACTGAGGCGGTCTTCATAACTTTGAGCCTCTTTGACGTAAACACGACTCTTTGTACACAGATAAAAGACTAACAGTGAAAGTTTCGGCTCGTTTTTAAACCAAAGTATAACCTCCGTGCGCAATCCAACTATCTTCATATTCACTATTTAAGTTATCGCTCACTGCACTTGAATAGTTTGATTATCTGTCAATTGTTCTGCGATTTGTAGGTTAATTACAACACGTACGTTAATTTAATACCGTTAAAGTTACTTACTTTAGTATATTTGCGCCTGATATTAACTTTCACCGCATAAAATGTAATATCGCACCATTTCATAGTTTCATAGTATCCATGGTTCTAATATTTTCGTTACGTCATTAGCAATAAAGAGTACGTAATGAGGTAACGGTCAACACTGTTAGCTGTGGGCCGGGTGAGCGGACGTAGGTACATAAAGGTGTATAGGTATTCTATTTCACGATGAAGTAATCAAGCGAGCCACCGAGCGACCCTTACGAATGTGTGCGTGTGTAAAATAGTACGCGTCAGATATTTATGAATGACAGTTAAAGTAATGTATTACCACGCAAGATAAAAATGACAGAATATTTGAAATTTTTTTAATTTAATTTTGTCTTTACCATTTGCATATTACTTATTGTGCAACTTCTCCACAAATTTTGACGGTTATTGCAAAATAAGCCTATATATAAAAATCAATTGCTGTCCGTTAGTCTCGATAAAACACAAAAATTAAATTTTTTGTGTGTGATTTGAGTGGGTGCCTGGATGGTTTAGATTGACAATTAGGTGGCAATGTTGTCGAGATCCAGAAATCACCAGTGCGAAGCGGATAGCTAGTGTTACAATAAAATACAGCTTTTACAAACTACTTATATAACAAGTGGCAAAATTAAAAATTAAAATTTTGAAGTCAGTTTAAACAGCTAGGAAGCGACCACCTATTTCCCAGGAGTTGTTATCAACCGAGATGTACTAAAGTAATTTTTATTATTCCCAGGAGTTATTATCCAACACTTATATTAAAATAACCCTTTTGTATTTAGTTTTTGTTAATTTAGATTTAGATATTACCTACGTAACAGACTAATAGATAGACTGGAAGGTACATTGTCACTCTAATGCATGAAAAACTTAATCTATTTTCCTATCTTCCTCAACAACAACTCGACGAAATGTACTAACATTTCGTCGAGTTGTCTCGACAACTTTGTTCAATATTTGCCGCTTAATCTATTTGATTGCCACTTACTAGTCTTTTGGATCGACTGAAACAACTGAGTAAATTGAACCTACTAGTAGTACCCATCTGTGCTGTCCATTTCATTAGTTCCTACCTACTTTCACGCTAACTAC